TAGGGTGGTTGCGGGAGCCTACGTACAGCGTCTGCATATGTGAGCGGCGCGGCTGCGGGCTGCATCTCTTGCGAAAAGGCGACAGTAGGAGCCACAGGCTGCGCTGCATAGGTTAGGGGCACGGCCACAGGCTGAACGGCTGGCGGATGGGCGGCAGGAGCGCCTACCGGCTGTGCGACACCCGGGCAGTGACCACGGCTAGATAGAGGTGGCTCGTAGTGCGCAAGAGGAACAGCTTGTGCAACCTCTTCCGATATAGCAGTGCGAATCGGGGCAGTTAGACGGGTGGTGGTCTCGTGAGTACAGGGCACTAGGGAAAGTTGGTGGGCGACTTCCTCACGGACGAAGGCTCGGACTTGCTGAAGCAATGGTGAATTGTCAGGCATGGAGTCGAAACTGGACAGCGACTCACCACTATATGCTAAGGCTGCCAAGTCAAAGTGCGTTGCTTCTTCAGCTCGTCGTTGCCCTGACATAAGCTGACGACTTCAGAAACTGTGCTTGGATTCCTAGCCAAGAGCATTTGAAAAGCGCCATCGTCGATGCCCTTCAGGATGTGTTTGACCTTGTCCGACTCGGGCATGGTGTCATTCGCGCGTCGACAAAGGTCGACGACATCCTCAATATAGCTGGTAAAATTTTCTCCAGTCTGCTGAGAGCGGACGCGCAAGCGCTGTTCTGCTCGCTGCTTGCGGACAGCCGGCCGACCGAACACTTCGGCACATGACGTCTTGAAGACGCTCCATGTGGGAACGTTGTGTTTGTGGTTGTTAAACCACAATTCTGCGACGCCAGTGAGATAAAATATGACGTGGCCCAGCTTGTCGGCTTCATCCCACTTGTTATTGGCGCTCACCAGCTCGTAGTGGTCGAGCCAGTCTTCCACGTCGGTCCCATCCGCACCGCTGAAAACCTTCGGGTCCCTTAGCCTAGGATGGCCGGGACAGTTGAACTGGGGCGACGACGCCGATGGGTTGGCGTTGTTAGTCATGACGGGCTGTAGAGTGCGGCTTCGCAGCTCCAGGGTGTAGCGACGGGGATAAACAGCACCTCCACCAAATGTGAAGAGGTTTATTAGTAGTTAACGACAACGGCAAGACAGCGTGATGAACCGTCCAGCAGAGACCGGCACAGCAGCGAGCCGAAGCACGAGACAAGAGAGCCGGGCGTTGGCTATGCTGCTCGCTGCAGGCAAATCTTCTTCACAATATATATATATATATATATATATATATATATATATATATATATATATATATATATATATATATATATATATATATATATATATAAAGTCACCAGATGAAGCGAACGATTGACGTATGCCCTGACGAAGGCCGGTCCCCGGCCGTAACGTTGGCAATAAAGCATCGTTTTTCGGTTGCTCGTTCGCTTCATGTGGTGACTTGTAACTCGACCCGAATCCAGGAAGATTTTCAAGATATATATATATATATATATTGTAATAACAATATATAAGCAACCACATTAGTGTTCAGAATCATCCGCTTTCGCTACTTCAAGCCATGTGCGGCTTCATGCAAGGTTAGGCAATTTTCATTTCGTCTGGCCGCAATCTCACCCGATAAAGTGTTTCATTCGTGCCATGCTGGAGTTCTGCTCGACCCCGTGGCATCTAGTGGCGGTGTTCACGCATCGTTTGCTTCATCGGCGATTATTAGACTTGTGGCGCACATCCTTCCGGTTCCATCCACTTGTGTAATACCTTCGCATTCCATAAATGCTTCCTCAAGCACACCCGGTGCTTTTGCGTTCACTTGAATAAATCATTACCGCGTTATTTCGAGTGAAAGAAGTCCTGGCCTCGTGCTTACCACTATAGCTTTGCGATGGTATAAAGTATGCTACGATATAGTGCATACCCGTCCACGAACGACAGCAGTTATCGCTAAAAACAGTCGACTAAAAAGCTATAACCTCATACTACAACAAGGACGATTTCATATGCTCCCATTACGACGTTTTTTTTTTCTTAATTTTGTCTTTCGTTAGCTTCGTCTGCTCGCACTCGGTGCTATAATCGGCTATGTAAATCTCAAACACAATTCATGAACATCATGTTCATGAATTGTTCATCATGTTCATGAACATCATGTTCATGAACATCAATTCATGAACATCATGTTCATGAACAGGCAAATATTAAGAAAAAAAGTGGAAAGGCATATTGGGCCACAATTTTTCGTCTTTAATTTAAGCCACAATATTTGTTACACGTCATCTTAATTACATTTGTGTTCTTGCGTTATACGGAATTACTACGCGCAGGTCACAAGAATCTTTATCATTATTGTTTTTTATACTTGTAACATTTTTTTAATTATAAGCGCCCCTTGTAGCGCGGGACTCTTGCTGTTGTATGCACTGCTGCTGCTGAATAAAGCCTTCGTAGCTGTATTACTTCAGCTTCTGCGTTCTGTAATTTTCTTCATTTTTCTCCCCTCTTTCTTTCCATCCTTCGTATCTTCCTTTTATACATTCCTGTTCCTAGAAATGCTGAAAAAAAGACGCGCATTGTTCCTCTTCTCATGGCAATCGCCAGCTTATTCCTTGCTTTGTTTATCCGCCTTTTGTGCCACTTGAAATAGCGGTTAATGAGAAGCATGTTCTAGAAAATACAATATTGGAAGTCAAATAGCCATTACGATAATGATATTCCAAGACGGCCAAGAAACTGTTGGTCACTCATCGCTGCACAACGATCGAATAACCTTCTACAAACAACATAAGCTACGTTAAACGTAGCGGTATGCTTATGCCGAGGCTGCCAAGAAACCGAGGCCGATTCTGCAAAGCTTCTCTTCCGGAAGTGCGTTTTCCCATTGGTCAGCCGCGGTTTCGCTAACATATTCTGTGTCGCGATTGCTTGAAGAATTATCTTACGAAAGTTTTAAGCGCACGTAAGACGCTTTCGTGAACACGGGCCCTGAATTTAACACCGGACACTAAAGGCGCGGCCGAAGCACTTAACGGACACTACAAAACACGCGATGCAGTGACATCACGTGCGAGCCGAGGCGCGGTGACGGCACATTGTATCGCCCACGAGTCTTTTGTTCCACGCACCGGCTTCGATGGGCGTACTTGCGGGACGATGATCGATGACAGGCTCTATGACGGCTCATCGGCGAGAGCTCTCGCAGTTGCAGAAAGCGGCCGGCCTCGAGGCGCCCTGACAGAGCTTTCTATTGACGGAGCTTTGTGCTCGTGTGTCAGCAGCGCTAGCTTGGCACTAGCTGACACTCGCACACGACCTTGCCGATGTCGAGTCGAACAAGGAGGAACATTTCCGGACTCGTGTAACGCAAGTCTCCGCGGCGTACACGTATACATACGTAATGGCGTTGATGATGTTAAAGCGACCGCTGTAGGCAGGCGTTCCGTTGCGCACACACACACACCACACACACACACACACACACACACACACACACACACACACACACACACACACACACATATATATATATATATATATATATATATATATAAGAGAAAAAAGTGTATTCATTACATTATTCATTAACGAGGGTATCGTACCGGCAGACTTCGTACCGTTAGGTTCTATACGAGGGACTATTGGTCAGCTGCCAGCTCGGAATAAGTTCACGTGCTACGTGACGATAAACAGGCTCATGAAGAGTGTGCCACACTCGCCGCCATGGCTACAGGTGGCGCTGGCAGACACTCCCACGTTTAAATTCACATATAAACCCAATAAAGTGGCTGGGGGGATAGCCACCGTGATAGCTCAGTGGTAGAGCATCGAAGGCGTTGTTCGAAGGTCGTAGGTTCGATTCCTGCTCACGGCAAGTTACGTTTTCACCAACTTTCCTTTCTTCTTATTCACATTCTATTGGTTCTAACAACTTTCCTTATACATTCCTTGGCATTATTGTCTGTTGATAGCTCAATGGTAGAGCATCGAAAGCGTTATTCGAAGGTCGTAGGTTCGATTCCTGCTCACGGCACTTTTCACTCACTTTTCTTTCTTCTTACTTCATTTCTTTTCACCCACTTTCCTTTCTTCTTATTAACACGAACTCCATGTTGAGGCAGTAAACATGACACTTTGCCGCAGTAAACATGACACTGTTGCTTCAAATTAGCAAAATTCGTTAATTAGCTTTCTAATTATTGACTTGAGGGCAAGCACAAAGTTGTAGTGGACGACTCAGCCAACACATAGTGTGTTGACCACGCTGAGCTGGCGGAGAGGATTGAGAGGCGCGTGCCGTGGCTTTCACAGCCGGCCTGGAGCCGCTTGCTTGTTCCTTAGCTATTTTACTCTATACGCTTGAGCGGACGCACGCCTCCAAAACACTTACACATCACGTTTGCCAGTTCGCGTCACGATCGCTAGAAGCGGCAGTTTACGAAAAGCGCATTAAATTATTTCTCGCTAGCTTCTGCCTGACAACAAGGTCACGGAAACCAGGGGCTTAGGCAGAAATAATTATCTTCGAAAGGGGAAGGGAGCCGGCCCGGTGTGCCACACCCCTGGCTCCGCCACTGATGTGAACGAGTTTCATCAGCAGCCATATATATATATATATATATATATATATATATATATATATATATATATATATATATATATATATATATATATACGAAAGAAGTAAATACTTAAGGGCTTGTTTTGCAATGTTTTACACAATAATTATGAGATCTAACAGACAATAATGCCAAGGAAAGTACTGGGGAAGATATTAGACCAAAGTGTAATGTAAAAATATATATATATATATATATATATATATATATATATATATATATATATGTGTGTGTGTGTGTGTGTGTGTGTGTGTGTGTGTGTGTGTGTGTGTGTGTGTGTGTGTGTGTGTGTGTGTGTGTGTGTGTGTGTGGCGGCAAGCTTTTTTTCTTTCTTTTTTTGGGGGGGTATCCACTCAAGGAGGATGCGGAGCAACGAATGAGGCGGGCCGTGTTGTGATGCTCCTTCTTTTTACGCATCACAGGCGAGCTGCAGCAGCCGGCAGCAGCCTCTTTTCTGCTGGGCCGAAGCGTGGCCCCCGCGCGGCTGCTACCGGGACTCCGTACGATCGTCGCTCCACGACGAGGAGATGGTGGGCCTCCGCTGCGAGTGGGAGCGTAAGACGGACAAGAAGTTCCACCAGAACCAGCTTCGCATACAGCAGGAGCGCCAGCAGGAGCTGGCTGACAAGCAGCTGCACGACAGAAGGCACAGGTACGCCGAACACGCGCGGCATGTATGCAGGTTGTCCCGCGTTACTTGAACTGAACCAAGGGCATACTGCTCGTACGTTAACGTGCTGAAGAGAATTGAACCAAACGCATACTGTTCGCTCTAGCATGTAGTGGAGAAACTCATTACTTAGTTTTAAGAGCTTTATTTTATTTTGAATCAAGGCCCGAAGTATGACAGTTGTAGAGCACCTTCAGGAACTACAGACTGAACTGTTCCCCGTTCGGTCGATACGTCTCACGTAATCCTTTAATTTCGCGTTGCAGAGAAAGCCCGCGCAGTATGTAAAGCCACGTGACGGAGCACTAGCGCACTGCTTTACAAGAAAGAGAAATTGCCGCCAGGCTGGGCTGCGAATGAGAGTACAAAGGCTGACGTCACAACAACCTCGGCAGTGCATTTTCGGGGTGGGGGGGGGGGGGGGGGTCACGCCTGTCTAGCACAGCCCAGAGATGGTTATGGCGGCGCCTAGGAAGCCGTCTGTGAAAATCTCTGATTGATATGTGGGGTTTAACGTCCCAAAACCACCATATGATTATGAGAGACGCCGTAGTGGAGGGCTCCGGAAATTTTGACCACCTGGGGTTCTTTAACGTGCACCCAAATCTGAGCACACGGGCCTACAACATTTCCGCCTCCATCGGAAATGCAGCCGCTGCAGCCGGGATTCGAACCCGCGACCTGCGGGTCAGCAGCCGAGTACCTTAGCCACTAGACTACCGCGGCGGGGCCTGTGAAAATCTCTGTATCGTGCTGCTATCAAGCGTGAAAATAGGAGAACAAGGTCTTCTTCAGCGTCACTGTGACTGAGGTGGAACGGCGGTTTTGTTAGTGGCCGGCAGTGGGCTTTTGCTTTCGTTATAATGATGGCGTAAATGCGTGCAGCTGACTCGAGTGCAGTCGGGGTGAAAAAGCACCCATAAAACGATGCAAGCGAACTTGTTCACAGCTTATGGGCAGCCCGATAGCAGTGCGCGAACTCTCAGTCACGTGGCCATTTTTTTCGTATTTCATGGGCTTACTTTGCAACGCGGGAAAACAGGACTACGTGAGACATCACACCGTAATTTCTTTCTCAACTTCCTCCCCCTCCACCCCCTCATTTCACCCCGCCCAGCTCACCAAGCTACACCAATGAAAGAGAGTATGCAAACAGAACTACGCATACATAAATGTGGATAGTGAAGGGTTGCAAGAGGAAGATATCGTCGACAAAAACAAAGCCACCTTTATATTTGAAAGTGACAATGCAATAGAAGACGGAAGGAGATATCATTGAAACGAGGTGTCAAGAATTATATTGATATGTGTGGTTGGGGATATACGCATACACATATAGTTGACGCCCCGCCCCCCCCTGTAGTTGAACCCTGTATGTGGAAAGGGATGAAAAAAAAGAACACCTGAGAATCCCTGCATATCGGAACTCAGGACATTTCAAAACCAGGACACTCCCACGAAATTCGGCAAGGTTGGCAACAATACCATGAATCGGACGTTCACACAACACTGTATGCATAAGTTACATGAGGTCACCACATCTATTGATGACTCTAAAAATGCCATCAGTGGGCGGTCGTCAAGGAGATATAGCAGACAAAGAGAAGTTTCACGTGGACTGAAAAAGTCATTCAGAGAAAATTAATTTCGGTATAGGTCGCTGCCTCGTTGCTTTGGATAACATGACAGCTAACCCGCCTGCGTTGATTGTTTATCAACAGACAAGAGCGATAGCTATATTGCGTACGACCGAATTCGGGAAGAGTCAGAAAATTGGCCGATATCGCGTCGGCGAAAAAGTTGAACTGGCTGTACTGGCGGAAAACTAGCCAGGCGGCCGTAACAGCGACGATTAATATAGCGTTTTTTTCCTTGTTCCGTGAAAAGTAAAAAAAAAAAGTGGGGAGCGCTCTCGATAGATAACCATTGCCGTTAGTGCGTAAGAGTGACGTAGAGTGAGAGGTGCAGCTGCACCCACACTGCACAAAAATTTACGACGACGCACTCTCAAGCGCTTTCTGCGTAGCAGTGGAGACACGAACCCACAGAGGCCCCATACAGGATCTACAGTGTCTGCGCGCGGTGCGCCGGAGCACCATTGATAGCGCCAATTGATGACCTCTCGCACCCCGTGACGGAAACGGATAATCAAGATCTGGCCCGCAGCGGAAAAAGACTCGGCATCGCCTCCGGGAGTGCGCAGCCGCAAGAGAGCGTCGGAAAGCGACAAGGGAAGGGTGTCATACAACGCCCCTTCTGCAGAAGAGGCGTTAACGCCCTCACAACGCCTTTTCCGTATAGAGGAGGCGTTGACTCCAATCCCACCGTTAATTTTTATACTGCATGTTAACATACGCACGCACACGCCAGAGCCGTACCCAGTAACTCTTTTTTTTTCGGGTGTTGTTTATGTGTAGAAACTCTGGCAATCTGCGTTTGATGGGAAGGCGCCTAAATACTTTAGCGTCACCCGAAAAGTTACAGCGCGGAAAAATTTCGGGTGGGGGGTGTCGAAACCCGCAACCCCCCCCCCCCCCCCCCCCCAGTTACAGTCTTGGCACACGCACATTCGCAGAGACCTTCCCCCAAACACCCTTCAACCCCTTGTACAATAAAGTCCTGTAGCTTTGCGACCAGCAAGAAAACAGAGTTATGATACATCGCATTTTCGATGGAGGCGAAAATGCTGCAGGCCCGTGTGCTCAGATTTAGGCGCACGTTAGAGAACCCCAGGAGGTCGAAACTGCCGGAGCCCTATTCATATGGTTGTTTTGGGACGTTGAACCCCACATACCACATCGAAGTTGTGATACATGATGGGGCAGTTTTGTGCGCATGGGCGTGGAATCATTCGTACCGGGCAGAGATAAAATGTTAGTGTGGTTTCCAGAAGTGCATGTGGCAATGGAAAGTGCGTAAAGATGAGGTATAATGTCACTGATATGGATAGTTTGCCATAGAATGGCTTTTATATAGCTCACTGCACAACCATCACGTCGATGGAGAGAGACGGTGTGTGACCGAGTCACCGACGCACGGAAGGGAAGGGCGCAACCTGAAGCCAACGAGTATGCAGGCTGACACAAAACGTTGCGAATAATGTTCAAAGGTGCATTTTAGCGACATACTGCGTGCCCACAGTGAATTCGATGATAATTTTCTGTGAAGGGGGTTGAAGCACGGATGCTCCCTCCTCCTTCGTAATGACCCCTCTAGCACTTGAAATCATTACGCGCGTTCCTCTTGGAGCACTGTATGCCAAACCTCTCAAGTTTCTATTGCACATAAATTATCTCAATTACTGGAGGTATATCCCTTAACTGCAAATACAGCATAGTTAAAATATTTTTTGCTGAAGTTTTACACAGAACTACGGAGACCTGTTTACCACAATATTCTTATCGTGAACTTCTCATCTATTTGTTTTGTCTATGTTGCTCTTCAAAGAAAAAGCTTTTGAAAGTTCCTCTTTGTTGTCTATGAAAGCATGCTTCTTGCATGCAGATTAGCCATGTGCAATATATTGAGTGTTAATATTTTTTGTTGCTGTTGCTTACACTGGCATACCTGTAGGGTGGCCAGGACACCTTCAAGCATACTGACCAGCTCTTTCCCTCGGTCTCCCGCAACATTAATGTTGTAAATAAATCAATATATCAAATCAAACCACGAGCATTGTTTTTGATCTTACAGGCTGATGCAAGTGCTGGAGAGTGAGAAGAAAACGCTCGAACGAAAGCTGACTGCCCTAAACTTGGCCGAGAAATCAACTAGGCGTCAGCAGCGCAGCAATCCTGAAGATCAATTTTCACAGCTCTCCAAAACAAACGGAACAAATCAATAAACTGGAAGAGAGCCCATTTTTTGCCCTTTACATCGACTGCAATCTAAAAGTAAAAGGTAGCCAGCATTCAAGAACATATAAAGGGTTCGTGTTAATCGAAACTATAGATCCCTAGGATGTGTGCACAAAGGCCAAATGTTACGAGAAATTTTTCATACGTAACCTTTCATAAATCGAATTTCTTCCTTTCTTCCTGTGCTCAGAACCAATGCAACTATCAGCCGCAGGTGACTACAAATACCGGCATATACAAATTTGCAATAGAAATTTAGCATATTCAACTGCAGCTCTAGAATATGGTTAATATCTTGTATTTTTGTCAGTAAGCGACTATAATTTGTGACATATAAAAAAACCCAAGGAAACCCTAAAGTATTACCAAAATGTGAACCTTCAATAGAAAGAGTGATTCAATACACTACCTGTATTATAATCAGTCATATATGTTGTTGATGATGATCATGATATGTTGGAATAGCGTAGCACAAAAGCAAGATAAAAGCTGGTCAATAACGAGGACAGACTGGATTGCAAGGGAAGGCAACCGGGTGAAGGAGAGACAAGAAGGTTAGGTGGGCATATGAGGTATGGAAGTTTGCGGGTATAAAGCGGCAGCAGCGAGCACGGGACCGAATTGACTGGCAGAACATGGGAGACTCCCTTGTCCTGTAGTGGGTGTAGCCAGGCTGATGATGATGGTGCTGGTATGTTGGGTAAACCACACGAAGAACCAGTACGACTGCCAAGGCTGGGATAACTTGATAAGAAGTTAGCTCATGGGCCTTAACAGTATGCGAGAGTTAAATAGATCTCGTGGAAATTAAGACTTTGTTAGGAACATTAGATAAAAAATGATATGTGGTATCCTCACAATTGCTATAGCAATAAAAAAAGATGGAAACACGTGGTCAAGACTAAATTACCTAAAAAGCTTTTCAAGTCACTGTGACGAGCACCAAGTGCACAAGCAGCTAGAATGTCTGTAATGCTGCTAACTTTCATTATGAAATGCAAGCTTTAGTTGTGACTGAATACAGTCCCACATGCAATACCATGCTCATACAAGCACGAGTAAACTGTGCATATGCAGTTGGAAGAGCAGCTTGACCTGTCACTGGTGAATAGGTCTCGGCATGCGCTCCTAGCTAAACGCAACTACACTTCACTTCCTCTACCTTCTGCACTAGACAGCAGCTGTCAAGAGCGATTGTCACATGTTCAGCTGACAACAAAGACACCTGTATGACCAGTGAGAACACACAAAAGCAACAAAGCTATAGCATACCAAAGAGACCTTTGAACAGAATAAACGAATTCATCTGCAGGAATGGCTTGGAGAAATGAGAGGTATCCCAGCAAAACACTAGTGGTGGCATAATTAAACAAAAAGCACTCCAACACAACTGCACTGCCACTGCAGTTATCCTATTCTTCAAGCAGAGAAGTTATGTCAATCAGTGTCATCCTGCAGGGCACAAGGTCACAAGTTCGATTCTCAGCCGCTGCAGTCACATTTCGATGCGGTCAAAATGCTTGTGTGCCGAGATTTAAGTGCCTCTTCAGATCCCCGAGAGCAAAATTAATTTGGGAAGCCTTTTCTACAGTTTCCCACATAACCCAATCTGTACAGGTAAATAATGTGAGCCCGCTATAACTGAATCGTACGTGAATGAATGTATTGCCAAGAGCAGCAAATGAAAGGAGACACACCCTCACTCACAACAGAGGACATTTACATTGTAGCACTGCATTGAAAGAGTTTCCACTGTTTATGGTAAACGTTACTATTCCTTATTCTCTTTTGAAGCGACATTGCTATGGCAATTACATGGCATCGAAGAGATTCTTTATGGATAAGGTAATGGTTAGAGCGAATTAAGTATTAACAATAATGAACGCCATAGGTCACACATGGCCCTTTTTCACTAAGATGAACGAAAATTTCATCACTTCTGTACAATGAACCAGGTTTATTGAAGCAGCTGCAACTTGCCCTGCCCACGAAAAACAGCCATTGCAGATATAGCTGCTAACTCATAATGCAGTACTGTGGCGCTTCATCTAAATCAGCAAAGAGAACTTCTCTACACAGTCACTCTGTCAAATGGCACTCTTCATAGAGTAATTTGGTAGCACACAACTAGACGACTTATTTAGCTAGTGCTATGCATATAGGTAGCAGAATTAAAATTAATTAAATTCTAAATAAGATTTACATTTAACTTTTGTATGAAGACCTCCAGCTTAAATCAAACAGCCAAATGAGGATATATTCTGTAGCTCAAAGATGCAAGAAATAAATACATCAAATAATGTGTATCCATACTGCTCATCCAAACTGCTCAAGCTGGATTTCCACCAATTACAGATGTATATAAAAGAAAGCATTAAAAAATGAACACGCCTAATCTTACATGGCAGAAGGAAGTTTTGATTAAAAAATGTGAAAGTATAGACTGCCCAGCTACGGGCCTTTGAGTAACACAACCAGTTTGCAACAGCGAACAGTTTAAGGAATTAGAATGAAAATGCTCATGATTCAATTGTTTGCCATATGTGAACACCCAACGAAACATAATAATTATGCCCCAATTTAGGAAGAATTGAGAAACTGGCACACGATGGGAGAACACCTTGAAGCAAAACCCACCAGTACCCGAGAAAATTCAGCCACGTGGTGACTTTGCCATGCCTCAATAAAGAAAAACCAATGGTATGTGCTTCTCATAACACCAAAAAAAAAAAAAATTAAATATACTGCTCTCATGATCAGTGACAAAACCAGTTTCCCTACTTATTATCACTTTGTCAACTAACACCCATCAACCTCATACTTCCAGAATCCCACCTTAATCCAGCACGAAGCGACAGATGAAACAGCCACACCAAACCTGAAACATGGATTGTAAAAGAACATTACGAAGTCGAATTTATTTGCACTGGTCACAATACAGATGAGCAAACACTGTTTGGCAAGACATTTGTGCACAAACTGTGCATGGCATAATGTACATAACAGGTAGGAAAGACTGAAATGCTTGCGCTGGATATGACAAAGTGGCTTTCGATAATGTGTGCTCTTGGATAACTCAATGGGGCAACTTAATTTGGACACATGCAACTGATTTGTGCTAGTTTTGCCTCATCAACCAGCTGCACATTTGCCTGTAGTGCTTGAACTTCCAATTTATAAAGGAATATAGCCCTGCTTCGCATAGCAGACGAAGTGCAATGGCTTGGTCATTGCATCAATAGCTATCTTTTAAACTAAAGAAAAAAAAGATATAGAAGAACTTTGCGACAGCACAAGTGACAAAAAAGGGGGGAAGGGGAGAGGATAACACGAGTTTCATTTTCGTCAACTTGTTGCTTAGGGCCCTTTCAAGATGCACCTGAACAGTACAGAGGAGAATACCATTACAAATTATTATCAGACAGCTTCGGAGATATATAGATAGCTTAATGTATGTAATTCACACTAAAATATAGTGTCTTCAGCACCTATGACTGTCACTTCAGAATACATCCCCAACTGGTACACTTCTTAAAGAAGCACAGACACCAAATTTGAGAATCGAGATGTGCCCTTCATTCGATCGCTCGGTATGCGTAGGTCCTTTTGGCCAAATTCAAACCGCGTACGCGACATGGAAGTCATTATATTTCGACGGCAAACAGCGTACGAAAGCTCAATGGAAAATGGAATGCCCTGCGACATCGACACTAGTTCTAAGTGTTTAGTGCGATACATTCCACACATACCATGCTGAGTGACAGTGCGCTAGCTGTGATGACGTCTACGATTCCAGTGTTCTTATCGTGGCACCGAAGCCTGGAAACGCACTCACTCTTGATGTCTAATCTTTGTCACACTGCTTTGAATGATTTCGTGACATTACAAGACGCAAGCACCTATAAAAGAACGGCAAAAGAAAAGAGATTCAACGTGTGCTTGCCAGTCACCATGTTGAGGAACCATTGAGAGTTGCAGTTGTCCGGTTGGAAGCGCGGAAAAAGCACAACGGTGTCTTTTCATTACACGTCTGTTACAGCCAACACGACCACAAGCTATAAAAGTAGAGTAGTGTATAGACGGATATCATCACTAACAAGTAACATGCAGGTATCGCCAAAAGTGAATTTTAGTTCGCCCATGTACTTTTTTGTGTGCATGTAATACCGGATTAGTGCCACCGCAACCGTGAGAAGCCGGATAGGTGGGGCCATCTGGAGGCGCAAAGAACTTTGCAATAGAGAGCGTATTCTATTTCTCCGCTGGTGCGTTGCATGCTGTGCACACCAAAGCACCCGAATATAGCTAATTGAGACACACAAGCGAGCATGTCCGAGACATGCCTCCTCGAGCACCTCCTCATTGCTGCTTGGAATGGCGTCAATTTCAGAATCGCTGTCCTACAAAGGATCGATCGAAGCGAAAATTATTCGCGATCTCGCGGATTGCGGCAATTCCAAGCTTCAGACTGTTTCATTCAACCTTAGTCAACACTTTGTACGGCAATGACGGCACTGCAGGTGACAAGACATGACTGAATGTGTGCGCCTAGCAGACTAAATGCTTGCGAAGCAGCTGAGCCTCACGTCACTCATTTCTGTGGAGAAGTGGTCAGCTGTGGAGTGATCTGGAGCTGACCGCGAGGAAGTGCTCCCAACACTGAAAATGGTGGGCTCGCCGGCTGTTTTGAATCGTGCTAGATGCCAGTGATATCAATCAATAAAAGTGATAGTTAATAAACCCTTAGTTGCATTTTAGGTCACAAATCGCTACTAGGGGGTCGATAGCTACTCGTTGACGCAAAAAATCTTGACATGAGTAAACGTGATGTGAGTGCTCCTTTAGATCTCATTAATATTGAGGCTTAGACATATCTGGCACAAGGCAATGGGTAAGGCCCTGTTTATCAACAAAGTCTTTATCCCGTATTTTTTGTATGTTAAACAATACTTCGAACGACTGACGCAAACTGTAACGTCACGCAGAGGTGCTTGTGCTTAATGTACGTAAAGTGGAAAATGTTAATCTAAAGCTGTATACAGGCATCACTGAGTTGCACACTGGCCTGCACTAAGAGCAAATAGTACAAGCTGTGTCTGAGTCACTGGTATAAGTACAATCATGGTCTGAGTACATCCTTTCGCTGCCTAGTGTCATCCATAAAAAGAAAGGCTCTCACTACAAACTGTGTGATGACAGAGTTTATTAAATAAGGAAGGCACTTCGTATCACATATACTAGAGCACTCCTATTATACAAAGGAGTTATGCTTTGTCAATTACATCGGTAATTGATTCTGTCATGCACCAAAACAACTGCACAAAAACAGTGCTAAAACATCATTGACAAGAGCGAGCAAATTTCGCTATTGCAAAAAAATAGCAACTGCTCCTTATCGTAAAATAATAATTATCTATGAATATGACTTATTTTGTTTCATTACAAAACAGTAACGACAACATCCTAAGCATAATATGAACATAATTGCATTGATTCTGTGGCAGCTTTAGTCACAGCTATGGCTTTCTATTACAGAAGTAGTAAGCAGGACAAGGCTGCCTTGGTAATGTTAACAATAAAGAAGAAAGACAAAACGTCGAAGCAAGATGTTGGACATGTCTTCACGACTGAAACATGACCCAATCTCTGCTCTCTGGTTGGGTTTCAATACTTGTTGATCCCAAACAGTCGAACCTTGTGGAACTGGGGCAACTTGGGAATTAGCACAAACATCAGGGAACAAAAGTTGATGGCAAAGTGGACGGAGTCATACTTGGTGTAGAAGCTTGTAAGGAAGAATCTGAAATGCACACAAAGAATATGCAGTGCAACAGACTTGGGATGTGTACCTGCCAACCTAATCACATCAAAATGCGTAAAAATGCTAAGACACCATACTAAATAGAGGGAGCGGGGAGGACGAGAAACAACAAGCAGATTTATGCGTATTTTTACACTCTTTTCTTACCTGCCGAGTAATATAGTCACTAAATTTGTACTAACACACGTTATGACAAGTATATAGTCCTCGAAAACCACAGCTTTGAAGAACTTGGCACACTTTTCGTCGCGTCTTGTGGTACAGATAGGGTTAAGTATGACGTAGTGTATGCCGTGAGCAAACACCCTTCATTGGATGTGTAAGCACTATTGAAAGAGTACTGATACAACGAATTTTTGCACCACGTTTTCTCTGTCACCATAAGCAGCTAATGACCCACTTACCAAAGCTAGAAATGCTGTTTCCTTGAACACCAAATGGTCAATTATGTGAAGATATTTCTACAGTACCCAGATGCACTTTCGATTTCAGAGAGCATTTAAGAAGGCGGAGTCAAGGAAGTCTCATTAATAGCACAGTTGTGAACACGACCATACAACAGTGCCGCAGAGAGTAAACAGAAATTTTTGTCTAAGAAACTTCATTTCTTGTAGGTGATACAAATCTTGATAGGTAAAACCACAGAAAGAACCCGAGTTGATGAAATGTTTGTAAATGCAGGGGAATTTTCAACTACAATACTGGGTGCAAGAGTTCATGTTCTCAAAGGGCCCTGCAACACTTTTCAAGTAGTCATTGAATGATCAATCAGCGTCCACTGCCCCCTGAATGCAAAATATCAGACGGCAGCCCAGAGCACAAGCGAGGACTATAGCAGCCAACATAAACTAATAACATAAGTAGTTGTTGACTGCTTACGTTAAATCCAGGTTGATATAGGTGCTGTAAGGCGCTCCTATTTCTGCACAGTTGTGCTGCATGCACTTAATTAAAACTAAATTTACACACATTCTAGCCTTTATTTGCTCACGATATCCTGGTAGTGTTGTATGTAGGCACACAAATATATACTGCCTGCCAAATTTCGTACCAGTCCCATGTTAACGACAAGTTACTGACATACAAAGCACACAAGCAAAAGAAAGAAAGCTTGTAAAAGCAAGAACTTTAAGCAACACTATTTCTCATATTGTGATAACTTTTTTGGCGGCTTCACTGTAGCCAATTTCACTTAATACAAGGAACTTTTCTGAATAGGTCTGCTTCACGCAAAATATTTATCTGGGAGCCTTGTCAGAAAGCTTCCATGTGTATGGCTGGAGAGCAAACAAAATTTTTCATCAAACAGAATTCCTCTTTCATAATAAAACACAAGGCATGATTAGTGATACAATAGGACGAGCTTGACTTTCTGACAGTTATGTAAATTCAGAAGAACACGTAAGTCCAATAGTGGCTGCAAGAATTCATGTTTAAAGGGGCCCTGCATGAGTTTTTCAAGCCATCATTAAACGACCTCACTGTAAGAGTTTATTGCCTTGTGAATCGATTGCTGAAAAATGTTTTTTGAAGCGCATGTAAGAGCCAAGTTACAGTGATTAATCACACGCCTCAAGAGATTTTTCTCTTCTTTTGTCCAGACGAGTGTGCTGGAAGCTACAGAGAAGGTGATGACCAAGGGTCAAGAAGGAACATCAGTGCTTTACGACTTTGACCATGCTCTGAAAATGATCAAATCAGTCAATGGCCATATCCTTCCAACTGCTGACTTTATTCAGCCTGTAGATGGTGTAATTCACCAAGAGAAGAGCGAGCCTTTTCTAGCTGTCTTTAAAACATAATTGTGAATTCTCTGTCGTGTTCAGTGCCATAATATTTGGCTGACATGTTCCCAAGAGCAGACTACCAATAGGCAAAAGCTACCGAATTGCTTACCGTGACAGTGTTTTAATTATTATACCGTAAGAGCCAGAGTCGTTACAGAAGAGCCACAGCATTCGTCAGATGTGGAGCTTTCACCCCGGCTCTTGTGAGCTGTTTACATGCTGCAAGGCTATGCAGTAACAGAGGTAACTGGCCATGCAGAAACCTATGTAACTGGTGACAATGGGGGGAACCAGGTTGAAAGAGACAGGTTAGGGCGATTACCATCATACTTTCGCTAACAGGTTCAACAAGGTGCTTATACGAGTCTGTTGGGGCCAGATGCTATTATAAGTAAAACGAGTGAATGGTTATTTCTGCTCATGGTGCAACGTTACTTGTTCTGTATCTGTACACACAAGTAGAGCAACTGTGGAAAAGTTTCATACAAGTGGCTGGCACCTGTAGTAGCAAAACTTCAAAATGTGGTGCTTTTCTTCTTGAGAATGGGGAGGCTGGACAAAAAGCAGCGCATCCTGAAGCCAGCATTTCAAATACTAATTGTCAAGTTTACTGTTGCAGTCATTGGTACCTTGTAGCAATATTTTTATCGTAGAAATGTACAAATATCAGAGACACGGGAAGTGTAAAATGTTTAGTTTGGGAGGCACGTCTCAAGTCTGAACTTCAACCATACACTCCAGCTTTGATATAATGAACAGGGATATAACAACTTATAGATTATAACGAAGTAAATGAAAAATAGTTTTACAGTAGATACTGTGTTAAGAATAACCTCAATCTCAGGATATCATGAACTTGTTTTCGTGTAAGGTGCAACTTCGTTACTGATTGAGTGTACTATGGTTTAGTGATGGTTCTGGCTCAAAAGAATGACAGTAGGCATACGGAACAAACAAGTGCACTTGTTCTGGTGCTTTCTAAGATATCTGAACACTAAATAGTTGGTTATACACCATAAATTGAGTAGTGGAGCCAAATAAGCCGGCAGAACTGGTAGCCATAAACATGAACTTACAGAAAAACGGGAACCACAGTGAGGAACTTCTTGTGGCTGTAAACTGCATTTCATCGTCAATCTGCTCCCACTGCGTCAAGTACCGTGACTTGCCCTGGTCTGCTGACTCCCAGGGAACGCCTTTAAGCGTATGAAGGAAGAAGAACATTGCCTGCAAAAATCAGCAATACAATTGCACTATTGTAAAAACTCGCTTCCCAGATGCACTTTGTCTTCTCCCCCTTCACTCAAACATCTCCCAGATGGGCATTTCAAGATTTAAGCAATGCAGCCTGATCACTGTCATACTAAAAGTATGACTGCTTCACAAGAATGTAGAGTAAGTAATTAAGAAAAGGAAACTCATTTACATATTTCTCGCTTATATTCACTACAAATTGATTACGTACACTGCCAGGTTTTTGACTTTTTAGACTACGGAGGTTCTTAAAAATTATCAGCACAATCTATTTTCACTACATTTATGCAATATCTTTCTAATGTATAGGAGGGTTGCAAGTGACATCATCTGCTTGGGGCACTAGCAGAGTCAAATGCCATCTCAGTGGTCAGTGGTGGCACGCTTTATCAGTTCAGTCGAAAAAGCGGGCGGCGACGAGAGGCTGCGTGCATGGCAGTGTGCACGACGCTGTGGTGTGTACGAGAAGAATGCGCCTGAGTGCCTATGTGGAAACCACGAAGATGGACGAGCTTTAGTTCGAACACTGGTGCCGTCTGGGGGGCCCCACATTTGTGCAATCATTCTATACACACAGCGCAGTACCAAAAATGAGCAGTGTTCGACCATACGGTAATATTCAATATACTAAAGGTTACGTGTATTTTTTAACACTTCAAGCTTCCATCGTCCTATGATCTTCCACATTATTTGTTTGCGTTTGTGTAATTTTACACAGACCAGCCAAGTGAAGCCTAACTTTTTTTTTTTTTTTGGGGGGGGGGGGGGGGGGATCATTTTAGGGTTTAGGCTCGTCTGTTGTCTGGCACAGCACATACAAGGTACCCACCATAGACCCACCGTAACTTTCATGAAGTAGGAAAGCACCCACTGTGCCACTATGCCACTTGTCATTCTGGTGATAAGCGAGGTACCTGCTACATATTTGTAAGGCAATATGTGCAATTTTTTTGTGCTGTGGCTGAAGACGATGAAGAATAGGCATGTTCCGGACCACAAGTTCTATTTCTGCCACGGATGAAAACGAACGTGAATGTGCTCTCACCCGCGAAAGGCAAGTCCGACGAAGAAAACAATCTGACCTGGACGTGGGAGTTCAGGAAGCAGCGGCAAAGCAGCAACAAGCTGCTCCTTCGGAGGCGAGAGCGGGGAATGCGGTGGCTCAACTTCCATGCAGACAGCAAGCTACCCCGGAGGCGAGAGCTCGGAAAGCAGCGATTAACTGCTCCCGTTCATGAACTTCAGGTGTTAAACGCACAGGAACGGGCAGTACGAAATCAAAGGTCAAGTGGTCAACATCCTGATAGACAATCTGAAAATGGCGCAATGCCTTCCTAGAAACACACCTGACGACACAGCCATTGATGTGCACATAAAGCGAAAGCTGACAAGCAAGCCCCCACACAAGCGTGGCCTAGTCAAGAAATGAAACATTCACATGTGGTTGAAGTGCCTAAAAGACTAGCCTCTCTATAAATACCTGAATATAAAGAAAACGAGCACGGACCTCGTCTTTGCCAACTTCAGGCTAGATCCAATCAATGAACCATTGGCTCTACATTTCATGGAACACAAATAAGTAATAATGAAGGCAAAGCGTAATGCAGAACTCAACACAACATACGAGTTATGACTAATAAAACATTGTATATACTAGACACACACACTGTCACTCATTTACATGCGCGAGTGGACGAGTGACATAACTACCTAGCACTTCGGCCCTTTGTCATGATTCCCTTCGTGGAGATGTGTGGCTTTCTTTTCATCTTGAACCCGACATCTTAATACTAATTTCTTGTGGAAAATCATTCCAACAGATGTTCTTCACTGTGTAATGGTACTACAGTAAAAAAGAACAAAAAATTAAGTGAACTTGTATTACAGGATTGTTCTTGAAATGACAGAAAGATTGCTTTTACTGTAAGAGTCACACAATATTGCAATCCAGCAAACTTCTAGAACATTTACAGCTCCGAAACTGCCCCAGTACAATAAGTCGCACCAAAATTGGCGTCCCCCTGGCTTGTCAGTGAGCAGTAGAAGGTCAAGTGTCCCGGCTTATGTCTTCGGGTTTTCGTAGTCAGTGAGGTTTAGATGTGAAATACAAAATTGAGGGTAGTGGGCATTATTGTTTTTCCGTAATAATCAAGATCATTCTGCCAAACAAATAAATGTCGCAATATTTTGAACTAGCCCGATTACGAAACACAGCAAAGCTGGCGACGCCGAGTAATTTTGCCAATGAGCTATCTGCAGTGCGAACAACAAACCAGTCACCGAGATACGATGCATATAATCTTGTTTACTCTTACAAGTACATATTTTAGGGTGACAAACATTTTGTTGAGCAAGACAACCACTTTATTTTAGTGGAGTCAATCAGCTGCCGCACATCGATCATGCGAGCAGACATCTCCTGCATCCTTAAATTATACCCAACTACAGACCTCATGACGATACTGAACCAGTTTATCCACCTTTCAGGTTTTCCATGTAAATTGCTTCATCCCCAAAAGTATGATGATGCCGTGACAATGATCATCATTTGCTTAAGACAGAAGCCAGCCAATATCATCACAACATGATATGAAGAGACGGATAAGGAGTGAGCGGACGACATACCACATTGTGTGCAAGATTCGTTAGGCTCCAGGCCCAGGCAACGCTTAGGAAAGGAAAGCTGAGTATCAGCAAATGCAGCAAGAGAATGCCCAGGCAGTAGGTAAGCCAGATGCCACGACTGTTGAGCCAGGAGCCATTGGGGTTGATTGCAGCACTGCCGTCTAGCATGGTCAACTGTCTGCGTGAACAATGAAATGGGAACGAACGCTCATCAGGAAAGCAGATGACAGAAAATGCCACACTCATCATTTTCATGAAGTGACTGAACTTGTGCCACATTGTTTTTGAGAAACATAAACACTAGACTGAAGTTATTGCACACAACTTTACGGGTACATTAAATTCCATTTCGACTGACTCCCAGTGCACATATTTTTATCACCTTGAGAACTGAAATTAAGAAATCTGAAATATGAGCTTTATGCACTGATGCAACTTCATTCTTAAGGCTAGTTCACACCTGCGACTGGCACCATCCACATAGCAAATTAGATGCAAAAGGCTGCTTCGATCGAAAAGAGACTGCTTTGGCTTAGTCACTTACAGCTCTATTTTTCAGTTGCGTGATCGCAGTTCCAAGAATATGAACCAATCAGATGCACTGAAACAGGACGCCAATTTATTTATTTCATGAGGTATAGCAGTAGGATAACACATGAATTAAGCATGGTGACGGGCATAGGTCACAAGCAGACATGAACACTGGTCCCACCAGTCGCAGTTATTAACGCAGCCAGTGAAAATTCCAGGCATGAATGAGCCTTTAAGAAACTGCTAAAACTTCACTGACCTTTTAGTGCTGGTTCTGTTATTTCTGGAACACACATAGTTTAGCACTTCGGATGCATGTGTCTTCTGAGAGCATTGGTTCAAAGATGGTTACCGAAATAAGTAAAATTGCCCCAACCTCTACACATTTCGAGCTCCATCCTACTCATAAGCACAACATGCTTCACGCAAACTAAAATTATCCTGCTCGAAGCACAGTATCACTAAAGACGTCTGAGCATTGCCCTATAATTTTCCTCATGAAGTGACACTGAATGGCTACTAAGTGGCCCAAAGGTCACCATTGGTAATAACAACAATAATTGTATCGATTTAACATCCTAAAACCACCATATGATTATGAGAGACACCGTAGTGGAGGGCTCCGAAAATTTCAACCACATGGGGTACTTTAACCACCGTGGCGGGTCACCATTCATTGGTCTTACCTGCCCCAGACAATGAACAAACTGCATTGCCTCTCAAATTTCTAACTCTCGCTTGTTAAATCGGAGCAGCAGGAATGTTATCCTGCAGAGCCTTGTCAAGGCTTCGTACAAAAAATGGTACAAGCTACCATCAAGTGCGTACATTGACATCAATAAAATGTGCTTACAATGTTGTCGATCAGATATACTAACTTCCTGTTCCTACAATGGCAATGAACTTACATGGGGGGAAAAAAAGTGAATGGAGCTGAAATGTAGAGAAATGAACCGATAGGGACAGGGCGCTATATCTCCACTAAAGGCAATGAACCTCTGTAATTATCTATGTACACATACACAGCAGCAAATGCTGAGACGGTCGATGCCCTGGACCTATAAAGTTCCTCTTTTTGCAGTAAGCCAATGCAGCAACTAAAAAAACACGAAAAAGTTGCCATTACATCTGGCATGCGCAGCAGCATAGCAATGACAATGACACTAGAACCAGACAGTGACTGCCAGCGCTAGTCAAGCCGGTCTGCATCACAAAGATGACAAGTGCCAACTCGTCTGTATGTAGTAATGTCATCGCCACAGCACTGCTGTTTGTTGGGTTGGCGGAATGTATGCACCTGCCTTTTTGTCACATGACTGTCAAAAAAAAAAAAATTTCTTTAGCAAACTGTTTGCTTATGCTTCTACATTCGCGTGTGTGCTTCAACTTCCTTGCCTAATGCTGACAAGTGGAGGACAATACTGAAAAGAGGAAGACAATGCTGCCCCTAGGCTGGAGAAGCAACAAACCTTCAGTAATGCCCTTCAGCTATTTCTAAGCTGTAATTTTGCGACCCAGCATTCTCGGCATCTACTCCAAATAACTTAAGTGAGGAGGTGCTTAACAAGCAATAGCATAAATAGCCAAAGAACGTCAAAGTGGTAACACAACACTACAACCACTCTAGCCAAAGAAAGATGTATTTTTATTTTATTTTCACCAAAACAGATACAATGGCGAAAAATGGGGAGATGGCAAAAAAGCTGCAGTTCTTGCTGCTTGACTAAGCACCGTCCACCCTACGTCAGCAATGAATAAGGGTGAATATGAATAAGGGTGTCAATGACGTAAGCATAAGTGATGATGATTGGGCTTGTCTGAAGACAGTACTTATATGCATACTTCTGCACTAATGCAGAGTAAAATTTACCATGAAAATTCTCCATAATAAGACCTCCCAACATATAATAACGCAACTAGTACTGATGGTATAGACCTATAAGGCACATTCCAGCATCATAACTTTTGCACCGTGCCAAATGGAAACATAAAAGGTAACGAGTTGTTTCCAATCTCTAACAAATTACTGACTGCATTTTATTAATAAAATATAGAGAAAAGAGAAGAGTGAAACGACAATGTATTACAGCATTATTAAGTAAAGTCACATTGCCACACAATGCTAGCCGATATTGTGCGAGCACATATATGGCTGCAAGTCATTACCTGCATAAATGCGTAGCCAAATTGCAGTGTGAACATGCAAGATGTTCGCAGCACAAAGCATAAAGGAATAATAAAGGATGCGGAACAAAATCACTGAACCCACGCAGAATATAAGCGATTTCCCTTGCAGTTCTTTATTCCTTTTTTGCTGTCTTAGGGACACAGCACATCTAACAATAACAAGCTCTTCTGACGTTCTACACAATTGATTCATAATTGGCGGTGATCCTGAAGGAACTTGCAGGCCGTGAATGTTTGCCAGCATGAGGCATGTTCACGAATAGCAATACTTTTAATTAGCCAATTTGTGCTTTGCTTCTGGTAAGCTTCATTTCTACCCTGACATGGTGAATCTCTATGCTCAAGCATACTGCAAGTCTACCTTTGGGCAAAGCATTATGATACCCTTGCTGCAAGCCGTGCCCGAAATCCGAGTGCTGACGTACTACGCATGCTGGATATAGACTCTTAAATTTCCTCTAATGGAACGCACAAAGAATGCAGATAAATCATATAAATAATATCAACCTAACAGAAAAATATCTAGAAATAAAATGGCAAGTGGCAACAGAATGTTTTCCTTCCCCCAAAATACAGAAAATTTCATACACACACACAACACATGTATGCAGAACATTATGCTTAGTGCTTTATGTATAATGAAAGAGAAAAAAAAAACATTATCATGAAATAATATCGCACAATATTGCACAAGTGGTACTTAGGTGAATAAACTTGATCGACAGACAGCACGGCAGTGAATGGCTGATAAAAATACCGGTAAATTTTTTATAACGTCAAAAGCCTACCTTATATAGCAGCGCTGATAAGGCTGTTTATACACGTCGCAAATGCTAAAATAAAGCAGATACAGAGCACACTTGATAGCTTCTAGTCAAGTTTTAAACTGCCTTGAGACTGAAAAGTGATGTTCCATATATATATATATATATATATATATATATATATATATATATATATATATATATATATATATATATATATATATATATATACACTTCCGGTGCATAGATTTTGCCGAGGAACGCGCCTATGAGTCAAGCCTGGTAGTACATCCATCTAGTAAATGCGAAGGCAAATACAGTCGCTGTGGCTGTCGACAGCCAGCAGTGAATTCGCGCAGCTCCGCAGAGAAGAGACCTGGCAATAACAAGCAGTCAAGCGAGTTCGCATTCTGGAAGCATCTGAGGCCTTCAAAGCACGGACTATTTACGGCACTCACTCATGAGGTGCATCTGATAAAACGAAGTGAAAGCGTCCAAACTTTACCAGCAAAACTGCGGGTTTAGAACACAAAACGCAAATGAGAGCTAGTCACGAGCTTGAGACGCCATAGTAGAAGCAGTTACGAGGGCAGCATCTTTCCTCGTCAGCGTCCCACTTAACCTAAGACCTTGTGCAACCAACAAGTACGACATCGATCCAATATTTGCTCGTCACAATGATAGAATAAGCGATGCTTTTCGCAATAAATAAAGCACACATGTGTTGTGTACCCGCGTGAAGGCCGACCCTTCAAATTACGTAATAAATGTCATACGCACCAGTGCAAAGCGTGAGTCACAGCTATAGTTGTCGCTGGAAGCCTGTCTGATCCCGCGTTGTACACTGGGATGATTACGTTGATACTGTGTTGAGGAATCGGAAATCCTTGCGTCGGAAATACTTCAGGTTCCCGTACCTCAGTAGCTCAGCTGCCGACAGATAGAAAGTGGTGCAGAATCGAACGAAGAAAGAGAGCGTTGCCAAAGAGGAAATGCCCTAGCGCATTGAACGGCTTACGCACGCAAGCACTTCGAGACATTAGCGCCTCGAGCGCCTCTTTAGTCCTCTTTGATTGGGCTGTACACCTTTGCACAAGCGCACATACAAGGTGCCACAAGGTCTATACCACGTGACCTCCGTTGTTGTAAACCTCACGAGCTGTAACTACTCCGTTCTTCCGACTCAGACGAGCGGTGCACACACGTGACATAAAACCACGCTGGGAGAAAAATAATCATAAAACATGAATGGATGGATTGATATGACTGTACCCTTTATAACGGGCGGCGGCTAACGCCACCTAGCCGTAATAAATTGTAAACAAACAATTAGATTTATATTTTTCTTTAAAACAAAAAGTAAAGTTTTAGCGTCATTTTTTATTCAATAATAAAGTTCAAGTATGATCTTCACACTTTTGCACAAAGAAAAGAGTAAAAAAATCATGAAGGAAGGACCTCCGTGAAGAGAAGTCTCTAAGGCTGTGTTGTGCTTTGCAAAACTTAGTGCAGATGGCAGCACGCGCACCGCAAGCGCTGCAAAAGTTCATTTGTATGGTTGGTCAGACGACACTTTCCACACCTTATGGCCCTTATTTGGTTTGGGGTTTTGGTCGCTATACGGTAAGTGTAAGACACACTAGCACACTTCACGTGCGAACATCCCACACTCGGCAGCTCCCGGTCATTAACCTTTCAGTTAGTTGCTCACAATCCAACCATGATCCAACTTCACTGGACTACCACTCACGCGCCAGTCACTCCGTCGGTATGATCCACTACATTCACCGCCCCCTCTCCCCTGGAGTTTGAGCCAGGGTACGAAGAGGCGTGAATACAGAAATCACGAGGAACATTAATTTTCAACTGGCTTGCATGGGCGGGAAAAAAATGCCGCCCGCATGTTCCCACGTGGGTAACTTGAAATGCGTCGCAGAGTGGCGGGGCTATCGCGTGAATGTTGCGCAATTAAGTATGGCTTGGCAATGCTCAATTGTGATTGATTGATATGCGGAGTTTAACGCCCTTTAACCACTATATGATTACGAGAGACTCCGTAATGGAGGGCTCCGGAAATTTCGACCACCTGGGGTTCTTTAAAGGGACACTAAAGTCAAACAACAATTTACGTTAGAGTGAAAGCTCAATGTATGACAACATCTAAAACGACAATATTATGAACAACAGTGCCCTGCTCCCCGAGAAATTAAGTAAATGCACGGGAACACAAGCGCCGCAGTAGGACCTTTTCAATATGATCCCGGTGACATCAGATGGACCGCCTACAATTAGTCACTAGTAATTGACCTAGCTGCACTAAATAAATAACGTTCCGCGTATAAAGAGACGCAATAAAATGCTGCTTGTTCGTTTCTGTTTGATTCATGGAAATAAGAATAGCCGGACGTTACTACGGGGAATGGCGCGAGTGGTTCAGAAATTCAATTTACGTTTGTTTCCAGGGGCAGGTGGTGTCATCAAGTGGGGTGTAGTTGAAACAAAAGCACCTGCAATCTCGAAGCCAATGGCGGGAAATCGATTAATAGCCGTTGTTGCTGCTGTGACTCCCGCTGCTTTAAGTCTGCTACTACTAGCGCATCTCACGTCAGGGCATGACCGCCCTGACGTGAGATGGACCACTCGGTCCGCATCTTGAGGCGGGTAATTTGAAGTCCGCTAACCTGATGCGGAGCGCAAAAACGTGATTTTAGTTTAAAATAGACGCTTCCTTCGCACAAAAGTAACACTACGAGGCTTCTGTACCACCATTTCAGCAATCAACGTCGACTTATTATTTGAAATTAGTGTCCCTTTAACGTGCACCCAAATCTGAGCACACGGGCCTACAGCATTCTCACCTCCATCGAAAATGCAGCCGGGATTCAATCCCGCAACCTGCGGGTCAGCAGCCGAGCACGTTAGCCTCTAGACTACCATGGCGGGGCGAATCCTTGTTATTTCATCTTTATTATTCTTATATATTGAATGAAGAAGAAACGTTGCCTTGCACGAGTAGTGGGATGCCGATGTTGGGGCCTTGCCCCACTACTGGTTGAAGGCACTGTTGCTTCCATCGCACTCGAGTTGAGCAAAGCGTGACGTGAAGCGAAAACCAAGTAAGGACGCCCATGACCGAATTCCGAATGCACGATCCAGTGCCTACATACACAAGATGGCCGGTGAACGGTTGTGCAGCGTGGGCACTCATTTTTACAGACGCTGCCTGCGTCGTCCTTGTGAGATGAGCGAAATGGAGTGGAGCAACCGGTGTCACGAGACGCGAGCATGCGTGGTGGGGATGTGGATGGCACCGCCGACGCTGGATTCGCGACATCGTGCAAACGCGCCGCATTTAAAACACGGTTTCTGCTTTTGGTGTCCAGTTCGGGAATAACTTCAGGCGGAACGTAAACCACTTCAGAATATACACCCCCTTCATAGACACGGTCAACTCAATTATCGCTCGGTGGATTCCATGCTGAACGGTTGTGTCATCCGTGATCTCTGACGCCAGCACAGCTCTCGCCGATCGGCGCGCCGTCCGCGAACTCCTTCAACCAGTTCCCCATCTTCTCTACCTCTCTCTTCTTTCTACACTCTTGTGCGGCAAGTGATGTCTTTTTCTTCTTTCTCTTTATACTATTCTCTCTATTCCCTTTTTCCATCCCCTACAAGGAGCTTAGCCGTGTGGCCAATTAGCCAGCTACCTATAGAGTTTCATACAATAATACCTAGAGAGGAATCTGGCGCTGCGATCGTGTACCCTCACGGGAATTATGGTAAGTACAGGCTTCAGATTGGATCGCGTTAGCCAGCGAACTGTCTACGCATCTTTTTCTACAGTTTCAGTTTCGTTCTTCGCGTAGAGTGGGTAGTGGTGGGTAGTGGGGTGGGTGCAAAGGACTGAAGCTGCGCCTTTCTTGTTCAAACAAGCTGAAAACTGATAGGCCTCTCAATTAACTGCAACACTGGAGCTGTATAAGTTGTGGTTGACTCCAGAAGCTCTTGAGGCTCCTGGGGCACCTCAGGTTCTCTTGCCCGCTAACCAAACTCTCCCTAGCGAAGAGCACACCCCGCGCGTAGAGGAACGCCTCACGCGCGTCGAAGCTTCGATTAATCACCTCCTCACCAGCTTCTTGGTCCAACGCATAGTAGAGAGGTTACCCAGGCTATTCAAGCCTGGGCAATCACCCAGTTTCAACCCAAGGCATCGCGTTCCCGCTCCTGCTCGGTGAGCAGTGAGGGTACAGCTCCACGGCGTCGTCGTAAGGTGGCTACCACCACCCCGCCGTCGGACAATCCGGCCTCCGTGCCCCTCCCTGCCTCTGAGGATTCCGAGCGGGACATGGAGGACCAAATATAAAACCTAGGACAGTCACGATGGCTACCAATCGTACGTCCCGTTCAAACATTGCGTCTAAATTCGAGATCATACAGTGGAACCCTGGAGGCTTCGGGAACAGGCGAAAGCGTTCACATCTTTCCCTTTTCCTCAGCTCACTTGGCTCTCAGCCGGCCGTCTTGGCGCTCCAAGAATCTGGCCCTGCTCCATCCCTTTCTGGATACTGCTCCTATGTAGGCGGCGCCACCACATGCCTCCTCGTGCATAAAGCTTACACGGCGATACAGATCGACCTCGATCTGGATCTTCCTTACGACTACTGCATGATATCAGTGCTGTCTCAGCGGAGGGGCCAACCATCAATACATATCTTAAACGTGTACTGTCCCCCTCGCCTTGCGAGGGCTTCGTTTGCGCATCTCTTCCATCGGGCACTGCGTATAGCGGCCCGACAACTACTGGTGATTGTCGGGGACTTTAATGCCCCCAGCCCTCACTGGGGTTAGTGCACTACGAGAAGGCCCGGGGCAGAGAGCTCAAGGAGCTCATTTCCTCGCTGAGCCTGACGCTTCTTACCGATCCGGCACAACCCACACGTTCCGGCAACTCGGTCACGCGAGACACATGCCCCGACCTCTCCCTCACCCGTCACATCCGCGATGCTACATGGGAAAATTTAGGCGAAAACCTAGGCAGCGATCACTTTTTACTCCGCATTTCGTTCACACCGCGGCAGAAAATGCGTCAACACTGGGTCCAAGCCCGTCTCCCCGATTGGACTCAGTTCAGAATGCAACCATTCCCCGCCGGCCTCTCCTCGACCGAATATGCAGCGTGGGCATCATACGCTCTTCATATGAAACAAGCGAACACTCGCACCCTTGCAACCTCTAATTTGACTCCTGCAATCGATCCACACCTCCTACATCTTTGGCACGCTCGCCGCGGGCTCATAAGGCGCTGGAGGCGCAACAAACTTAATCGGAAACTTCGCGCTCGCATTGAGGCGCTCACTGCAGAGGCGGCCGCATACTCCGCACAACTTTCCGATGCTAACTGGGCAGACACCTGTTCGAAGGCTGCAAACCAGATGAGCTCTAAGAGTGCGTGGCGACTCTTTAGAAGCCTTCTCGATCCCTCCACCACCAGGGGAGAAACGCAACGCCAGCTCCACCATGTTCTGCATGCATTTCAGGGCACTACGGATGAACTCGCGCGAGAACTTTGTGACCGCTACATCTGCCGCACAATTGATCCCGCAGGCCCAGCATATACGTATTCCGGCGCCCCTAACACTGACCTCGACGCCCCATACACGCTTTCTGATTTACGATTTGCACTCACGAAAATGCGACGGGGCACGGCCCCTGGACGCGACGGAATCACAGTATCGCTCCTGGCAAATCTTCCCGACCAAGCACACCTCTCGCTACTCCAGCTTATAAATTCGATATGGGACGGTTCTCCGCTTCCAACGGAATGGACCACATCGGTCGTGACATTCATTCCCAAATCGGCAAAGTCCGTTAGTATTGAGGCACTGAGACCCATCTCACTTACGTCTTGCGCAGGCAAACTCATGGAAACCATGGTTCGCGAACGCCTTTCCGCCTACTTGGAGGCCAGGAGCACCTTTGCCGACACGATGTTTGGCTTTCGCCCGCATCTGTCGGCGCAGGACGTCCTGCTCCAGCTTCAACACGATATCATAGAGCCGACTACTATGCGCCATAACGATAAAGCCGTGCTCGCTCTCGATCTCCGCGGGGCGTTCGACAACGTCAAACACAGCACTATACTCACTAACCTGTCTACCACAAACTGCGGGCAGAAGACTTTCAACTACATTCGCGCCTTTCTATCACATCGCACCGCCTTC